GCAGTACTGTAGATTTTCACACTGACTTTTAAGTAGTGAACGCCTGCCTTGCTTTACCAACCCGACGCCATCCTTGTTTGACATTCCCATCTGTGTCATCTGTAGTTCAAACGATACTGCCTACGCTATGCAGCATATAGACAGACGGGTGGCATGCGTGTCCCCAGATAGTAAACAAAAGTTTATTCCACAATTTTAACAGAATAATTTTTTGGAAAATCACTCTTGAGCAATCTGTTCACAATGTTTACGCTTATTTGAATGCTTCAACAAACTTCACAATTATTTCCCTCTTCCCATCTAGGCTATATATTGTTCTCCTAACGTTTATATACCACCTACTGACTTAGTCCTCGTTATTTGCTACTGTCTCCAATTTGAATAGTTCCCTTTGTAGTTGTGTGGTGGATGATATTGATCATGTGTTGTTTTAAAACTGTGATTTTGATGTGGTTGTATACTCTGAACTGGACAGTTAATTTGCGAAGCTTTCATCGCCCTACTGGGCGACATCTTCAGCGCAGTGAGTGAGCTTTTAGATTTCTCTACGAGTTTATTAATCATCCCTCCTGGTGATCTTGGACGTGATTGGTTGTTTTTGTGTGTTTTCACACCTTCTAGGTTACTTGTATTGTTTGGTACTGATTGTATCCTTGACTTGAACTTTGACCCTTTGTGTGTGTGAGATTTCCTTCTTATCGATTGGCAAATGTTGTCTATCTCGATGTGTCTATTGATTAGCGATTTACTGGAATACCGGGCTCCTAACAATTCTCTAGCATTCTTGTTGTTTCCTCTGTCTAATTTTTGAACGTTGGTTGTCCCAGTCGAATTGATGTCCGTGGTTGTCTGTATGCAGTGTGACGATATGAGGGAGTGGATGTCATGTCTTTTGACGGCTAATTTAGGATCATGGATACGAAGACGAAGGGGTCGTCCACTTTGGCCAATGTAGTGTCTTTTACAGTCGTTGCAATTAATTTTGTAGATGATGTTGGTTTTATCTTCTTTTGCTGTTTAGTCTTTTGGTTGACACAGAGCCAGCTGAGTACAGTGATTTTGTTGGTTTGTGTGCGACGTCAATTCCTAAAGGTGTGAATAGTCTTGCAGTGATTTCTGAGATGTTTTTTTATAAATGGTAGAGCGATTTTTTTTGTGCTTTCCTTAAGGGCCTTTGATTTGGTAGGTTTTCTTGGGGGTATGTGTCTTTTGATGAAATTCTGTGGATATCCATCATTTTGGAAGACGTCCATGAGATATCTTTCTTCAACTTTCCTGAAGACGGGAGTGATGCAATGAGTCCTGGCCCTCTTGAATAGTGTTTATATGCAATTCCTTTTTGTGTGTTATTGGATTGTTGCTGGTGTGATTGAGTATTTGGTCCGTGTGAGTTGATTTTCTGTAAACTTGAGTTTTTAATTCCCCAGTGGTTGTGCGCTTGACTAAGACGTTCAAAAATGGGATTTTGTTCTCGGATTCCTTTTTTCTTGTAAATTCACAAGAGAAGAGGAATCCGAGATTCTTGCTGACAGGTTTTACGATTCCCCCTTGTTGGATCGATTGAACCAATTGATTTTCAGTCAGCTGATTTTGTTCTGCAGTACTTGGTTTTTTTTGTAAGTATGAATTACTTCGATGTGTTCAAGCGCCTAATGGCATTGTTGACAGAGTCTTATGTTTTGGTATGTTATTATTGTTGGATACTAATGGAGAAAATCAATAATAATAAGTCTTTATTTCATACAATATGCGAACATATGCTACAAACATTTTCAGCTTATTTAGTTCCAAATACTTTTTTCCCGCGTAGCTCAACAATAGCGTCCCAGGAGTGCGAACGCTCCAGTGACCTTGAATGCATGCTAGTCGTTGGCTTACGGCATCTGTCATTACCATAGCTGAAATATCAGCGCTATTCACCAGCTAAGCAGCAAATTTCACTCAGATCATGTTTTTAAGTACTGTTTCGACGATGTGTTAATAGCTCGTTACGATTAGGATAAAGGTCAAGGTAAGTATTGGGGTTAGGTACAGGATCAGGGTTAGAATTAGGGTTTGGATAGGGGTTATGATTAGGGATAGATTTATAGTTGATATCATTTATTTTAATTTGTCTTATTATCCACATTTTCCTGGTAAGTAGTCGTCGATCCTCTTACTGCGAATCATAGTAATTCAACCGGAGGCTTTTGGGGGAAGATTGCACAACAGGATAAGAGAGATGAACGATTCACAAAAACAGATCACTTTCAGTCAACTCGGTGAATACGTGTACAGAAACTAGTTTAACTTAGCAACTGATACTCCTCATTATAACTGAGACGTATTTTTAAGTCATGTTAGAGAAAGATAACCTGTTTACTGTGTTTTCATGCATTTTCATGTAAATTTACGTCACTTTTGGTGCAAATTTCCTTATTTTTATGATTGGTCGGCTGAAGGTCACTAGTGCGTTCGCATCCTTTGGGACGCTATTGTTGAACTTTGCCCTTTTTTAATCATCCAGGATATACATCCAAAGTGGTAATCTGAAGAATATCTTCATTTCGCTGAAGGATTTCACAACGTTTATTTGAAAGCCAGTTAAATCATTGAGCTAGCTCATGCACACATAATTTGATATAACTGGACGATTAAAACAACGATAAATCCAGGTGAAATTAAGCTAATTGGTGGATAGCGACCCCGGTAGCCCAGGGATTTAAGCAGGCTGAGGTGCATGACTTCGATTTAGTTGTGTTCTCTGAGGAGCTGGTTGATTTAACTGCGAAGCTTTCGTTGTCCTTGCAGACAGCATCTTCAGCGCAGGTTTTAGTATGAAAAGAAATTATTCTTCACTGGAGAAGGTTTAGAAAGAGGGCAAGGTACCTGCGCATTGGAAGACAGGATACTTATTCTAACTGCCGAAGAAATGGGACTTAGGTCAATGCAAGAATTGGTGTGGCATCATGCTCCTGTCCATCTCAAGCAGAATACTAAGCCACATCATCCGAGAAAGAATCAAATACGCCCTAGATGAAAAACTTAGATGGAACAGGCTGGATTCAGGAGGAACAAGTCATGTATCAATCAAATCGCAACACTACGGATCATCATTGAAAAGAGCTTGGAATGGCAGTCACCTCTCTATCTCAACTTCATCGACTTTGAAAAGGCCTTCGATAGCGTCGATCGAGAGGTGATTTAGCAACTACTTCGCTACTATGGGGTGCTGTCAACATTTATACACCTCATCCGACAGTTTTATGATAATGCTGCATGCCAAGTAATTCACAACGGGAAACTCACGGAATCCTTCGAAGTGAAGACGGGAGTAAAAAAAGGCTGGCTGGCTGCCTACTATCTCGAATGATTTTCCTGACTGCGGTACCCTGGATAATGCGGCAGACGGTGGCAGGCAACGAGGAGACAGACATAAAATGGACCCACACTAAAAACTTGGAGGATATGCATTTCGCCGATGATATGTCTGATTTCCCACAAACTTGAAGATATGCAAGTGAAAAGCAGCAAGTTGGCGATTGGAGAAGCATCGAAGATAGGCCTTCAGGTGAACATGGGGAAAAAGAGGTGATGACGATTCCTGGTCAACAGCAACAGCAACAAGAACAGACGACAATCAGCATAAATGGGAGGAATCTGAAAGAAGCAACCTCCTTTACCTACCCGCCTGCATGAGAGACATCGTTTCAACTACAGACAGACGGAACTGATGAGGATATCCAAGTGTGGGTCCACAAAGCGAGGCAAGCTTTCATTGCTCTCAAGTGTGTATGGAGATCAACAGCACTCAGCATGAAAATGAAAAGTAAGATGCTGCCTTTCAACTCCAATGTGAAGTCAGTGAGTGCTACTACACAGAGACTTGGGACGTCATGAAGGGCACCTCAAACAAACTACAGACCCTCATCAACAGCTGTCTTCGATCAACAATCAAGATCAGATGGTCAGGAAAGATCAGCAACAGGGATCTCTGGAAGTAAACCAACCCAGCAGGAACCAATTGTTCAAGAAGAAATGCAGGAAGAAATGTAGGTGGATTGGCCATACTCTGAGGAAACCATCAAGTGACATCACAAGACAGGCCCTTTAATGGAACCCGAACGGGTGACATAGAGGACGAGGTTATATGAAGAGAAGATTACAGCGAGTGGGAAGACGTGGAGGCGGAGAACCGAACGCATTGAAGACGTGCGGCTGAAGCCCTATGTTCCGCTAGGAATTTAAGGGAACAAAAATAATAATCTCCATAATTGATAAAATTGCATCTCCTGACAAACATTGTCGTAATTGGTTGTTAGTTTACGTCTCTATTGGTCATTTTTATCAACTTGGAATTTCAATTTTCTTGTCATGTGAATGATTTTTTATTAGCTGGTAAATTTAATCTATAGTGACGTGCTTGTTAACCACTAATTCGTCTGAGTACCAGGCGACTTCTAGAAATTCCCTGGCATCTGTTTGGTGTTTCCTCTATTTATTATTTCTACATTATCCGTAGTTATCTGCATGCATCGATATGAAAGAATACATATCGTGCCTTTTCACAGCTGATTTATGTTCTTGGATTCGAACCTAAAGGGGACATCCACTTTGACCAATTTAGTTTTGTCGCCATTTATCGTTCATGGACAATTCAAATAAGTTAATTTCATACTAAAAGCCTGCACTGAAGATGTTATCTAGGAGGTGGACAGAGAAAGCTCCTGAATGATATCAACTAGCTCAGAGAACACAACTAAATCAAAATTGTTGAATATTACCTCAAAATTTATCAAAAAAATAACCGTCTTTTTACTATCATCGGGACATTTTTGTGACCGGTGAGCAATTTAACAAAATTCTAGTGAGATATACAGTAGAACACAGCTACAATGGTCTCCTGAGTTCAGACCCTAACACACGAAAACTCTTAGCTCATAAAAACTTAACAAACGCTATTACACACATTAAATATATAAATTACATGTTAAAAAGTCACCAGACTCTCATTTACTTACCACATTGATATTTAATGATTCTAAAGCTTTCTCCTTCAACTGATCCGCTGTCATGTGTATAGGAACATTATAATATTTATATATTACCTGCAAAATACAAAATCAGAATCAATAAAAGCAGTTTTCTTTAAGACTGAATGCTTCAGAAAGCGTTAAATAAAAAGGCATATAAAGTCAATTAATTAAGCTTAGTTCTAGGTGAAACTATTTGATTGGTCCAAGCATTCAATGAACTTTTCTTGTCGACCAATCATATTTAATTGAGTATTGATTTACATTTATATGCGAGAGACTCTAATAAATAACTTTTTCAGTGTGTGTGTGTGTGCATGTGTGTTTGTGGGTGTGTGACATAGACAGTCAGAGGCTATCAAAGTGAATCAAACGAGGTCATTTAGAAGGATATACGTTAGGTGACACTGACGTCAAGTCTCACAGAATGTGAGAATTAAACTATTAAATCATTATAATGTCGGTTTTTGCATTCACCTTTAACCTGATACAATTAAGATAAGAAATCTTCATTTACGGAATAACTATTTGGTTCTTAAGAAATATTTTGGCTTGCTGATTGCTATGACAACCAAAACTTTAATTTTTTTTTAAATGCCTAAATATTCAAGAGTTAATTGGTAAGGATTAAATTGATTTCAGTTTTGGTCCTGAAAACCAGGAAGGAGTACTATCCAGTGGTCTCATCCTTTTCAGGGAAATTTCGGCATTACACAGCCACCAGGACTCGAACCCAAGACTTAGCGATTACAAGTCACTCCTGCAATGGCCTGCTGATTCCAGCTTCTAAAGGCCAACGTCTGATTGGCTGCAGGACGAAGGTGACTGGAGTTCTAGTGAGAAGTCGTGATTAGTGAGGATGACAGTAGCGCTAAGATTAAAAATTGGCAGGATTTGGAAATCATGGCCTGTTCCGTCGGATCCAAGTGGCTGAATGGTCTACGAGCTTGCCTTGTAACCGGAACGTCCTGGGTTTGACGAAGAGCGTCAAAAATAGGACGAAACAGCTATGTAGTACCCTGTGATGGCTTTCAATGCTTCTCTAACTGATATCAATCCGTAATTAAACTTGAAAATAAAAAAACTGCATCAGTTTCAAACAGAACCCTAAGGGGAACACAGATACTGCGTAGAGTTTCACAGTAGAACATTATAATGCTAAAAGATCCATCCATCAGAGGTAGAGAATTTATATTTCAGCAAATTCTTGGGAGGGGCACTACACTATGAAACTTAGTCTGAACTACTGTGTCATGATGATCTTTTTTCTCAAGACGAAACTCTTACTAGATTTTTCTTCACAATGGAGTTCGATTATGAACTTGCCATTTCATTCGCCAAATGATACCCAGTCTGATCACTTGATATCTTTATCAGTGGTATTCCTCCTTGTCTGTGCGGAGTATTACTGCACAGTTTTCAATGGATCTACATAGTTGATTTCAAACTACGAAGAAAATTATCTTCACTGAACCTATCAGGTCTTGAATACACACAGACTAAGAACCACCCAAATAGGACTAAACATTTGTCCAGTGATCTTTGGTTGTCAATGATTTTCTAGTTGACTTCTGTCTCCCCCTCCCTCTCTCTTTCTCTGAACAAAACTCCTGTCGAACAAATCAGCCAGTTGATTTCCAATTACCATATTATAACTGTTTACCTATCTGATAAATATTCGCATCACAAACTAAGAATTTAACCAGACTGTTACGGAATAGTCATCTGTGTTAGGTGTAGCAATAATAGGGGTGATAGTGCTACTAGTATGTAAAGGCAGAAGACAACATAATTCGTTAATGGAATTGGTTATAGGCGACTTGATGTACATATCTTCGGTACTGTGCTGCTTTGTTTTCAGTATTACGTTCCTTCATCTTCCTTACAAATGTCTTTTTCCATGTTGTCTTACAAACATCGTTCATTAAATCCATCTCTCCGCTGTTTTATATTCTTGCAGCTGACGCACATATTTATATCCGTATCTATGTACTACTTACAAATCATGTCAGTAGAAAATGCCACACTACTAATAGTAATGTGCGTCAGTTGTTCATTGGCAGAGGGTTAACCAACCAAGTGTGAGGTCAAGTTTCCATCCTGGGCCGACGCACAAACCTAAACATCGCCTAATTCACCAGCCGATAGTAATCCGGGGGAAAAGAGGGAAAACTGGCGGTGAGGCTAGCAACCACCCCCATCCAGTAAAGAAAAACAAGACCGTCGCTACTGAAACTTCAGGAGAAAAACACTCGAAGCCCTATGTCCCACTCAGTTCGCAGATGAATAAAAAACGATTATTGGTAGGCATTTGTAGTGGTGCTAGTAACCGTCAAAGAAAACTGAGACCAATCTGAATATTGGTTGTGAAAATTGATTCTTAGCTTTGTCGCAGATTGATATCAGTAAGACAACCATTTAAAACCAGAAAGGACTACCGATGAGGGGAATACAGGAGTAAGACCAGGCTGCTTGATATCATCAATGATATTCTTAAATGTGGTGGATTGAATTATGTGTCAGACTGTGCACAGGGAGTGAGAAGATAGGAATACACTCGGCCAATAAGAAGACTCCATATAGAAGATCTGGATTTCGTGTGTGGATGATTTATGTTTAACGCCACACAAACTGGAGGAATTACGAGCGAAAGCCAACAAACTGGCTGAAGAGACTGATAGCGGAGACAGAACTTTAGGTGAACGCAGAGAAGATGGAGGTAATGAAGATAACTAAACAACCAACAGAGGCAACAGCAACCAGCACCAGTTGCCATCAACGGAAGAGATTTTACACAGGTTACTTCCTTACTGCACTTATCTGGCCAGGAAACATGGTGTCAACCACGAACGTATGGAACGGATGAAGATGTGAAAGCCGGCTAGCCAAAATCGGAAAGGCAACATACGCCTTCATCAACCTGAAATCAGTTTGCAAATCTGCTGCTGCAATTAGGCAGCCAGTATGAAGAAGAAGATGGGTTCGGATTTCCAACACAAATGTCAGTGAAGTCAGTCAGTCAGTTATTCTATATGGGTCAAACACCTGGCTAGTGTGTCACGAAGAGGATTTCCAACCTTCTACTGAGGGCTTTTATCAACATCTACACACTTCGCTGGTTGACTGCATACTAAAGATTAAGTGTCCACTCTACCAGAAAGACTTAGCAACAAGAAACTCTGATTGGGAACCAACAAACCAAGAGCCGATCGCTCGACAGATATGTAGGAGAAAATGGAGGTGGATGGGCATACGCTGAGGAGGAAGTCGAATGATATCGCACGCAATGCAGGCCATCACTTGGGTGGAATCCGACTGTTAAACGACGAGATGGTAGACTACTGTCTATCGTGAACGCAGATGAAAAGGAGAGCGGAAAACAGAAGAAAGTGAAGATGTGTTGTAGAAGCCAGTCCTATGTTCTACTCGGAACCCAGGGGAATAATAATAATAATAAGGACTGCTGGACAGCTGTTCCATCACACTTTGGGACTCTTCATCGATACCAATCCGTAACCATACCGCAAGGATAGAACCCTGGACTGTCAGGTTGCGTGGTGAGCTTGTTGACCATTCAGTCACTGGGATGATATCCAGTGGTTCGTCAATTCTAACTTCTGTCAGTTCGCGATACATAGCGTTACCACTAGCCACTATTATCGGTGGATGTCTGTCCTAGCACAGAACTTGTGGACAATGCTACTTCAAGTAACTACCTCCTGTAGTCAATCACTAGTAAGTATTGTACTAATTTTCAAATGTTGTTTTCTAGGGATTCTATTGGTTTTAAGTTTGGTTATCGAATGATATCATTTAGAGTATCACTGAGAACCAGGGAGTACTGGAAATCTGTCTCGTGCTTGTTTGGGACTCTTCAACAGTATGCATAGATAGGCCTCTGGATACAACGAGCTTAGTCTCGTAAACTGAAGTTTATGTATTTGATCCTCAGTGGTGGAGTCATAAGCATATACTGACGAAGAGTCCCAAAGTGGGACGAAACAGCTGTCCAGTATTCCCTGCTGGATTTCGATGGTTCTGTAGCTGGTTCTGTATCAATCAATGATCAAACTTGAAACCAGTCAAATCCCTACGAACTACCGCTTGAAAACTGATTTCACCATGAGTCAACTAACGCACAAACACACATAGACACAAGTGATTCTTATTCATTTACTGGATGATTTATCATTTGTTGTGAACAAGGATCACATGAATTGTAGTTTCGAACTAACTTTTGGAGAGCAGACATGTGCGCGTGTGTGTGACAACAATTCGATTATCACATTACATACTCTTTTCAGTATCAAGCTGTTTTATGATATCATGTGGCCTAGTTACTCCTCCTTTATCGATTAGCTAATGAACCACGTCATTTATTGTTTTGTTCAACAAAAAGCTACAAGTGAAATCAACAATCTCGAAGGTGGTATTCGTCTGTGAAACACACTGACACACACACGCACACACATGTATAATTTAATTTTGTATGCAAATATTTACAAGGGTCACATGATTAGGAATTTTTATTCGGCGTTCATTTGTTTTTGTTGTTGTTGTTGTCGTAGTCGTCACGTGTCATTTGCTCTGAGTCGATGAATATGCATGGAACTTTATAAATAAGATCTTAACAAATGCATACTAACAATTTGTACTGTATTCAAATAGTAGATCTACTCTGGAAACGAATCAATTCAGGAAGGAATCTATGTGGGTATGCCGAAGGCAATAGAGGTTGATTGTACACATCCTGAAAAGACTGTTGAGTGATAATGAGCATCTGGCGCTCGACTGGAACTCGAATGAGAAACTATGAGTTTGGGAAGACATCAAGAAGGTATTATGTGAGGTGGAGGAGGAGGAGATGAAAGCTTATAGGCGAGAATCGAAGAGCCAACTAAAGGCGTCTGCGCAGAAAACAGAGTAAAATGGAGATGTGCCTCTGAGACCTTATGTTCCACTTGGAACCCATTATAATCATGAACAAAACTATGATTCTATTTAGTATATCTGATGTCTGAAGACAAGAGATTTAAAATACTCAATGGCTGATTTGTAGACGTATAGCAGAGGAATTCAGGATTCAGCCTTTTTGTTAGTACTATTGAAACGGCAGAAGACAAGGGACTTGGTAAAGGAATGTTTAAGTGTTGGTTTGTATGGATTTGATTGGTTATAGGATTTCATCATGAGCTGACATTTTTTTAAATTTTTTTATTATTTTGATTTACAGCTTGATTCCACACCGTATTTTCAGTACAAGTGTGGAATTTTCAGCGTGGATATCGGTAGCCCAAATTCAGGCCGACCATAGATATCGGGTGTGCGCCGGCAGGGGATCGAACCCCGGACCATGTGCATGGTCGGCGAGAGTCCTACCCACTGGTTAGAGAACCTTTGGAAAACTTGCAGGGAGTACTAGATGGCTATTTCGTCAGCCTAGTTTGATACTTTTCAGCAGTACGCACCCACCGGGGTTCGAACCCAGGACCTTCCGGTTACAAGGCCAGCCTGTAGACCATTAAGCCACTGGTACCCGATCCAATGGCTAGTGCATGAATTCTAACTTCTGCCAATTCACGACACAGCGCGACCGCTGGCCAATGTCTTCAGCAAGTATTTGTCCAGGTAGGTAGTTACGTGGGGTTCTAGTGAGAAGTCGTGACCAGTAGGGTGCAGCAGGTTCGGTGTGAGGACAAACACTCGCCGAAGACATTGGCTAGCGGTCGTGCTATGTCCTGAATTGGCAGAAGTTAGAATTCACGGACTGGCCATTGGATCGGGTTTTAGTGGCTTAATGGTCTACAGGCTGGCCTCGTAGCCGAAAGGTCCTGAATTCGAACCCCGGTGGGCACGTACTGCTGGAGAGTCCTAAACTAGGCTGACGAAACGGCTGTCCAGTACTCCCAGGTTTTTCAATGGTTCTCTAACCAATGTCAGCTCATGTTGAAATTCTTTAAAAAAACAGATCTTCGTCTCGTGGTACCTCTCGCCTACCTTCATATTGTGTTTCTTTGTGTTCTTTTCACGTCTCTCATATATCTTCACCACGCTGTATCATTTGCCTTCTCTGGTATCACACCGATCTCCCTGCTATATAATGTTTATATACAGTCGAACGTGTCTCTATATACTACTGATAAGTCTTATCAGTAGCACTAGCCGCAATATGACAAACCCTACATCAGTGTTATGTTGATGAAACTCACTACTGAAATTCCTAAAAGCTAAAATCTGCTAATGGAAATGCAACCAGTTGGTGAGTTGCACGTCACACACTATTGTGAAATTATACCACAGTGATGGCGTAAAAAGAATCTTGGACAGAAACTGATGAATTCACCTAGTCAAGAGTAAAAGACGGAAAATCATTGTTATTATGCTTATTATTCTTATTGATTTCCGAATGGAACATAGGGAATCATCAGTACATTCCTATTTCACACTTTACTAGTTCTACCATTGTTCATCACTATTTTCTTCGGCATATATGCTATTCGATTGGTTCTTGGTTGCTTCTTTGTTTTCAAGAGTTGATTTGTGTTTCGAGTTTACCCATGGATTGTTGTCAGTTAGAGAACCATCGAAAACCAGCAGGAATTAATGAACAGCTGTTTTACCTTAGTTTTGGAATCATCGACAGTAGGCACTCACCAACAGAGTTCAAACCAAGGACCTTCGGGGTACAAGGCAAGCTGGCTCGTATACAATTAAGTCACTGGGACCTGATTCACTGGCCGGCCCATGAATTCTAGCTTCTACAGATTCGTGATTTTAACGCAACCACCGAACAGTGTCACTGACGGGAACTGTATCCTCACTCCCTGCTGGATTGACCTCTAACAGATTCTTTGTTGTTCGAACTGCTTTCTGGTGATGGGGAGGCCAAATCTCTAAACCATATGGAAGCATTGCTTGAATTGTCGCACACGTTAAAAGTCCGAATCCTGCTCCCTATGATCATTGCTGTAGATTTCTACACTGATCTCTGAGTAATGAACGCCTCTCTTGCTTTTCAGACCCTAGCGTTGATATATTCATCCACGCCTCCTGCAGTTCAGGCGATGCTCCCTAGTTAAGTGAAGGAGACAACTTTCTTTGGATTTGTTAGAGGACTTCATTATGAGCTGACATCAGTTAGAGAAACAATTGGAAAGCCAACAGGGAGTACTGCTCAGCCAGCTGTTTCGCCAGCCTAGTTTAGGACTCTTCAGCGGTACGCAACCACCCCACTACCACGTTCGAACCCAAGACCTTCTGGTTACAAGGCTAGCAAGCTCGTAGATCATTAAGCCACTGGGGCTCGACACCTCAATGGCAGGCCCATGAATTCTAACGTCTGCCAGCCAACTCATGACATAGCGCGACCACTTCGTGCAATGTCTTCTTCAATGAGTAACTGTCCTCACCTTCACAAACTGCTGTACTCTACTGATAATGGCTCCTCACCAGGAACCCAGGGGTAACTGCCTGAACACGGCCAGTCGCTAGTGAGCATCACATTAATTTTCAAGCATTGGTTTTGTTTGACTTATTGGAGTTGTCCAGTACTCCCTGCAGGTTTTCCAATGGTTCTCTAACTGATGTCAGTTCATGATGAAATCCTCCAACCAATCAAGCAAAAAATCCCTGCAAAACCAATACTTGAAAATGTTCCTTGGGTTTCTCACCCCTTATAGTAATTGGCGCTTCTTTATATTAGTTGGTTAGATATCTTCATCATCTCTATCCTCCTAATATATACACAGGTGACTCATTATTATTCATTATTTATTTCCCACACTTGCATAATCATTGATTTCCCGCATCTGCGTCATTAGTGGTTTTAATTACTGAATTCCCATGGTTTGTTAATATTTTTAAAATGTGACATTGATTTTCCTCATTGTATAAATACGGAGTTTTGTTTAACATTTCGACTGCTGTTACAGACAGTAAAAGCTCTCGTATCAACGTCCAGTCTTCTTTCTTTGCCTTGCGTGCCCGGCGGTATTGTTGTTGTTGTTGTTGACGTGCGATTAGGACAGATTAGCCAGCGCATTAGTTAGATTCGCTCGTAGTCTACCAGGTCCTAATATCTCATACATAACATCTCCCTACGTTTACTTGAAATCCAGTCTTTGCTGCCAGCCTTCCTCTACCAACTTGTTAATTTTCGCCTTACAGGTCTTGGAGTTTGTGGGTGAACTAGACCAAAATCGTTCGTGAAGTTCAAATCTTCTAGTGTCTTCTTGTCGGTCCAAATTGATCACGTCTTCTCGCTTGCCATTCTCGCTCTCTGTTGCACGATCCAGTCCACCACTAGTTTTCTGACGACATACCACTATTTCTTACAACTGACGACGAGTCCAGAAAAGCTGTGTACACCAAAAAATTATCCCAACAAGCACATAAAATCGTTTATTCGAGATAGTAGGAAATTACTGCATATTATTATTAATAGTAAAACGTCATTAATAATAATAATAATGATTACAGTAAGGAAAAATTTCAGAATTTAGCAGGCTTACTTGATGATTAGGAATTACTTGATTCACGACTTTTACACTGACTGTCTTTCCATGAAATATCTCCTGATTCCTTCGAATAGATCTAGTTATTCATCATCAACACGGTTTCATCAGTAGATGGAATTATAACGAGCCCCATGTGAGTGATATGGTTTGTTTTCGAAAGGGCGACAGAAATAGAGGAAGCGAAAAATAAAAATGCAGAATTTGACAGTGTTAAGCACTAGGCGGAGGATAGTTATAAAATAAAGTGCCACTGAAAACTAACATAGAGTATTAGACAGCTGTTTTGTCCTCATTTGGGACTCTTCAGAAGTATGTACATATGTCTCCAGTTGAGATCAAATCGAGAACCTTAAGGTTGCAAGATGAGCTCGTTAACCAATCAGTCACTGCAATGGGATTCAATGGCTCATGAATTCTAATTTCTGTCAACTGAAGAGCTTCCTTTTCTGAGGATATTAGACCTTGTGTCTAAAATGAAAAAGCTATCGATTCTGCGTGACCACTAGCTTTGAATACATATATATTCCACGCTAAGTGTTACTATTTAAGCTTAAAATTCGCAAACTAAACATTTAGAAAAACAACACAGTGAGAGGAGGAATGTATTCCTATTATCGATTAGTTAGCCATTATTCTGGTTCTTAACAGCTCATGAAATGAAAATCACCTGTTGCTATAACGATACTTCTTTGTACGTTTAACTGGACAATTACTGCTGTGGTGAGTCACTGGCAGTTAATATTGCTAAATATATTATTATCGGTGAAATAACTAACATTTTACAATACAATTTTATCACTGTACTTATCCGAAAGTAGAGCAACGATCGAAAATGACGCGCATTTTGGTTAATTTTCTTTAATTGAGATACTGTAATGATACTAGATGGTTGGAGGCAATCGACAGGAGGCCTTGGACCTGGGTCTCGTGCTAGTTGGCACTCACCAGTCAGCAAGGCGTATTTGCAGCCTTGAAGGAATTCATGTCCCTTCTGAGATTCAAACGCCACGTCACTCAGTGCTGACTGATAGAATTCAGTCTGCATCAAAGAAAGGACTAGACATATCAAACTAGTTAATTACTGACAAGTGCCCAATGAAAAATAGCCAGTACAGTCAGTCCTACAGGAGGTCAATCGCTAACCCGAATAGCTCAGTAGTAACGTCTCTGACCACTGGCAGCACTGGGTGACGTAGGTTCAAATCTCAGAAGTGATTTGAGTTCCTTCGATGTTGCAAATACACCTTTCTGACTGGTGAGTGCCAACTAGCACGAAACCTATGTCACGCAAGGCTTCCTGCTGATTGCCTCCAACCATCTAATATTATCAAATCAAAGTGCAACGTGATGGCGAGCTATCTAGAATGGTGGCCACATTGCAAACCTGACTGATGGGATTCAGTCTGCACCAAAGAAAGGACTAGACACATCAGTCTGGTTACTAGTGTCCAAGCTATATATATTTGGTTTTACATTAGAAGGACAGAATGACGATTACGTAATTCATAACGGTCTTATCAAGTTACCAGTAACCCAGTCAGTCAAGTTATTTGCCATATTTCACACAGCTTTTCTCACGTCCTACGAACAAAACTTCTACAGATGGAAGAGTTAATCTGAATTCATTTGAAAAAGACCAATCTGCGTGACGAAAAGAAATTCGTCAAACCCCTGTCATCATCCTGCCCCCCACCCTTGTTGCCTTTACATAATATGTATTAAGTTTTACAAATGATTTTCCCTATTCCACACAACTATCATTCAACTTTGTTATTTCATTTCGTTACATTCATATGATTATTATTCTAAATAATTCAACTAATTTACTTGTATCCTGGCTTTCTTACGTAATTCATTTATTTTTACTCGTCATCAGTATTTTTTAAGTGATTGGCTATATTATGACTTGTTGCAAATTTATACAAAAATTAACTTATCTTTATTTACGTAATTACGTTTACCCTGGCTCTATCTCGAAAATCTGAAATTCTTTCTGACGAAAAATCTCTGTTGCTAACTTCTACCAATTAACTGTTTTGAGTTAAGTAATGAATTATTTCCTAGGCCTCCTTTGCAAATAACTTTCACCAGTCTCAAGTTGTTCTCCATCTCTCTAAAAGATAACCTCGTCAATCTGGCCGCCTCTGTGTACATCTATGCGTTTACTTGCTCTTGTGGAGCAAGGTACAATTGCTGTAGCCAGAGTCAAGCTCACAGACCATTCAGGCACTAGAAACGGACTCAAAGGCCTTTGAATTCTAACTCCTACCAAGTCGTGATTTTAAGCTCCAGTGACTTGCTAAACGACGCAGTTGCCTGGATGTCTAATGAGAAGTTGTGACCAGTGAGATCCATCCAGTTGGGTGAGAGAGGATGAAACTCCCGCAGATGACATCGGTTGTTGGTGGCGCTAAATGCATCACGAATTGGTAGAAGTTAGAATTCAACGGCTGGCCATTGAATCAGGTCCTACTTGCTGAATGTTTTACTGGCTAGACTTGTAACCAGATGGTCCTGGGCTCCAAACTTGACGTTGGGTGCGTTGAAATTCATAAGGAAAATTATTAAGATCAATCCTGATAAGAGTTCATACAGTTTTTTTAAATATTTATTTCTGATGAATTTTCATTATTCGGACAAGACTGGACAATCATTTTTTATGTATACATGTTTAATTTTTATATTTTAATTCTCATTATTTTCCTGAAGAAGTTCGACCCAACCATCTGAATGAAACGCTGTTATTAGATGGTTGAGGGCAATCAACAGGAAGGCCTCCTTACCTGACCTAGGTTTCGTGCTAGTTGGCACTCACCAGTCAGAAAGGCGTGTCTGTCCTTCCTAAGATTTGAACCGACGTCACCCAGTGCTGCCTGTAGTCAGAGACGTTACCACTGAGCTACTTGAACTCGCGTTTAACCTACTGTAGGACTGACTGTATTGGCTATTTTTGATTAGGCACTTGTTAGTAATTAACTAGTGTGATGTGTCTAGTCCCTCCTTTGATGCAGACTAAATTCTTTCAGAAGAAACGCTGAAATTATTTATTTCAGTTTTTCTCAAGTTTTCGTCCGCGATGATTCAAATGCTCACAGATTTGATGACGAGATGAAGTCATTTGGATAACCACTGGAAAACCTGAGAGTACTGAACAGCTATGTCGTCATAGTTTGTGACTGCTCATCACTACGCACCCACCGGGGTTCGAATCCATGACCTTCCCAGTTACAAGGCGAACTTGTAGACCATTCAGCTGCTGTAATATGATTCAATGACCAACGAATCCCAGCTTTTGCCGACTCGTGATATATATAGTGCAATCACCTGTGAATGTCAGAATCGAGTATCACCTCTCTTACAAGATTTATTGTATCCTTTACACTGAGAGCCCAATTACTGTGGAACTATCAGATCAAACCTTGATTAGATGCCGAGTAAGTTACCCAATTTACTATTCATAATAAAGTTGAATGTTTTTTTTGTGCACAAAAGAAATTTGCACTTAACCAACTAACTTACTCATTAATCATTTGTTCCCATTTTTCACAAAGTGAATTATTCGCGAATCGTATTGCCCAATTCTCAGTGAGTGGACGTCCAACAATTAGAAGCAGACTAGTATCCACTAACACATTATTGTCATTCAATGAAGAGGACTGAGCATTTGTCAACTTTATGATATCAGGATCCACTGATTGACTATTATTATTGTTATTATCGATTGGTGGACTGTTCAAATCACCACCACCTCCACCACCACCACCCCCATCTTCTAGACTAGCCGTTGATATCCCTGAAGATGAAGAAGCATTACACTTCATATTCTCCATATCGATCTCGGATGCTTTCAAATGCTTTTGACTATGATGATGATGATGATGATGATTGCTTTTGTAATTACCGGTAGATTTTGATGCATACGTTGACAGTCTTGAGAATAGGCCTTCACTGCTCAGCGCGTCACACCATACTTCATGCAGGGGAATAATATGAGCTAAATCACCAGTTGATAAAAACGCTTCTGGGTCCAATGGCCATTGTGTTAACACTAAATGGTCGGAATAAAGAAATATTGTAGATTTTTGTGACTGGTGAATTGTCTCCAGGCTGATTGTTTGTTCCACGGGGAAACGAGGAAGCTATAGGTAGGAAGGGACAGAAAAAGAAGGAGAGGAGATAGGTTTTGGGTTTAACTATCAAGAAATAAAATAATAGTAGCAATGATTTGCTTTATTCTTATAGCAGAGAATTCTCAACAATTGGCACAATATTGCATCTAATTTACATTCCAAAGTGTAGGTTACCGAAATTGATAATGTCAACCTTTTTTCTGGTATTAGCAGTAACAATAAAGTGAAAAATGCACAAAAAAGCGTAAAATGATAGCAGCAAATAATATTTTACAAATAAAACTATGAGATAATTAAAACAGTTTCACCATAAGTTACAATTAGGAGAGGAAGATCAAAGAGCCTGCTTATTATTTATTGCTAATTACACTATTTCAATCATTTGGAACGGTGGCCAAATAGACTGTCGTTGAGATTTTGTACTTAGTTGTGGTTGCGAGCATATAATCTCTTATAATGACATCTAGTCCTATGTGGTTAGATGCAGGTGGAAAGTTGTGAATACAGAGAGGGTTCAAAGAGTCAAACAATATGGATTGAGCCTATTCCCCACATGAGTAGTTCAGATGTCTGTCGGCACCACTTTCCCTACTGACAACCTTTAATACCCTTCTGAATATGACATCGTCCTTCTTGAGTAGCCCATAAAAGACTGAGGGGGATCAATAAAGGATATAAGAGTTAACAGACTGTAAAAGTAGACGCTGATCGATACCTGATTGTCTTAACTTCTTTATGTAGAAGGTTAGATATGAGATGACCGATAAGGGTAAGAGGATAGAATTATTACAAATGCCCGATTTAGTTTCCGTTTTAGTGCCGTCTATGCTACAAGCATCAAGCAAACGAATCAGTTCGTCTAGATCCCTCTTACTCTTGAAGGTCAGGTTAACTATCTGACATTTGGGGGGGGGGGTTGATGTTCGACGGAAAATTATTCAATTTAGAACAGTCATATGCGTACACAACTGGCAGTGAAACAGGTTATCAGAATATTTAACTGAGTTGATTTCGTCCGAAAGAGGCAAATCTTCTAAGAAGAAAGAAAAAAGAAGCCGTGAGAGTATAGCGACGCGAGAGAGACGCCGGAACCAGTTAACAAGGCAAATGAAGATTTACCTTTATTTACAGCATACTGTATTCTGTTCTAGAAATAAGAGTGCAACCAGTTGACAGCTCAGGACTCGGTTTGTGTCAAGAAAAGCTTAATTAACAGAAGACATCTAGGTACAGAGTCAAAAGTGTATGTGTAATCCAGGAAGTCATGTCGAATATACATATACGGCTTCTAATTCTAAACCGGAAACAATATCATGATGTAAGATAGCATCTAAAGGACATCTGACCCTGTTTATATGCAAACTAATCAGGGTCATTAAAACTTTTCAACCTTGAGTAAAAGTAATTTCTCGACTAATTTTCAAAAATGGAGAAGTAATCTTAATAGATTTGAATCTAACATTCACACGAGTACTTTGATTGCACACTAGTAACTAGTGTTTTTTTTTCTTTGGTGCAGACTGACCCGTCGACAGATTCTAGAACATAGGCATTCTGACCGGCGTCCAACAATCATTATATTTCTTGACCTAAAGGCGGAATTCGATTCTGTCGACCGAGAGGTTCTCTGGCGATGCTTAGCTGTAAAAAGAATGCCGAGAAAATACATTGCACTGATCAAGGCACTCTACTCGAACTCACACAGTCAGCCAGGTGATGGCTTACGGCGAATTGTCATCTGAAGTGGTGACGACTAGTGGTGTCCGTCAGGGATGCCCATTATCCCCACTTCTATTCAATTTCATCATAGATGTACTAATGGACTTAACCCTAACTCACTTCAGAGACTCAGGGATTGACTTGCTACCAGGAAGTAATCTCGTTGACTTAAAATATGCAGGTGATATAGTCCTTCTGGGTGGGGACTCTGACAAAATGCAGAGTCTTCTGAACACCCTGAGCTGCAATCTACGAATGTTTAGCATACAATTCGTTCCCGCCAAATGTAAGATGATGTTACTGGACTGGACTACGCTGACTCCTAATTAAGAAATAGGGAATGAAGTGGTAGAGCACGTTGACCACTTCACTTATTTGGGAAGTACCATCAGACAGCGCCAACGGGCTGATCTCTAAAGAAATCTCAGTACGGATACAGAGGGCTAGTTTCTCATATTCCAGTTTACGCCGTCTCTGGCTTAGTAGACGTGACATCCGGCTATCGACCAAAGGGTGGATGTACTGCTCAGCAGTCCGCTTCGTCTTCCTTTATGGCTGTGAGACCTGGCCATTGAGAGTGGAAGACATGAAAAGATTGGCTGTCTTTGATCATAGATGTCTGCATTCTATCTCCCGTGTGAAGTGGTATAATAAGGTGAACAATATTGAGGTTAGGCATCGGTTGAGTGCTAGGTAAGAAGGGTAAATCAATCGACGAGGCTGTGAAATTACATCGACTGAGGAGGTTAGGACATGTGTTACGTATGGCTAGTCATCGCCTTCCTCGACTGACAGGCAATGTTAGCTGAAATAGGGTCAGGCTGGAAAAGAGCTGGTGGCGGTCAAACCAAAACATGGCTTCATCAATCAATGAAATCCACATAGGAAGATGTAGACTTCCTGGTTGGGGTCCTCGGGACAGTAAAAACTGATGAAGGGTGGGGACAATTGGTGATGTGGCTCAAAGTGATCGTTCTCAGTGGCCCAGATGCATCCACTCCTTGTGACTTATAATACCCAATGAAGCTGTATTGTTCTTCGATATTACTATTCTTTTTGTCTCATATCCCTGTCTGCTGTCTCTAATATGCATTTATTCTACTTTCTTCTCTTGCTTTATGTGCTACATGGAGTGTAGCGACTTGAACTGCCGCACATTGGTGAAAAGTTCCATGTCGAAAACAGACTGACAGACATCGTGTGTGCGCGTCTCAGGAAAGTTTCGATCAGCCATACAGTAGGACACAAAGATCAATATCCTGCTTTTAGACCACAGCAAATCTGTTTTGTTTTTTAAAGCCATCGTGCAGAGATTTTCGCGAAGCGGATGGATTTAGGAAGCGATGAAAAATTATGAACAGTCGTGGAACGGACTAAAAGGCCCGTGGAGAAAATGGAATGAAACACAGAGCGGTGAAGTTGAAGCCATCTCAAAATCAAAAGGAAAAATTATCATTATTATTAAATTGAGATATTTTTTTGGTGGAAACCTGTCTCAAAGTGATCCTAAATGTAACAAAAATCACGCCAACCACGCCTCACTTGGTCCAAAGTTCGATCCACGGCCACCGTCGCTCAACCAGTAATAAAACTGGTAAAAGAGGGAAGGTTGGGCAGGAGACTAGCAACCCTATCCCGTAACAAATAAAACACCACTGCTACCGAAACTTCAAGCCTCTATCTTGATGGCACCCTTTGTTCCACTGGCAATTTAAAGGAATAAAAAGAAAAATCAATATTGTTTCATGTGTTTCACTCACTTTCACAATATTCACAACTTCTTCAGCGTATATCTTCTTCCAAACATTGATCTCTTTATTATTGACAATTGCTTTTTCAGTCTCCGGAACAAATGAACGCAAAGAGATTGGAATGCTGTAAAATTATTAAAAAAGAAAATGAAAATAAAATATATATGTTTAGGTGGACAATAGGAAAATATTTACTCGAATTAATCCATGCTACTGCAAAGTATTCGATATATTATAAATGAAGGAGAAGAAACTGTGTAACTGGAACAATCATCGTGTTTTCACTCTCCGTTGTCTGCAACAGAATGCATATCCTAAATCCGTAGCTGTCGAGTCACCTGACAACTCCAGTAGGTCGAATAAAGTAGCTCAATCTTCAGAAAGAAGGCAAGGAAATAAGTCCGATAGGGTGCTTCTACTAAACTCTAATCCGAAACACCATAATTTTGAAAATACGTCTAATCATAAAATTCTAGATACTAACAATTTGAACAGACATGAAGGCGTGATGTTAGCTGATGCATAGGAAATCCTAATTGATAAATAAAAAATGGATATGTATCACTAATTACTAATACTTGGTCAAAATTCTCGACTGTCCATGTCTTCTTATGGAAACGTTAAGAAATGTTTTACAACTGTTTACCCACACACACATACACGCTCTGTTTAAAGTGTTTAACAAAGGTAGACCAATATTTGTAAGTCCGAGGTCAAATTTTGATCACAGCTCATAAAATTTTGTTTATTATACTTGTTGAATGGTTGGACAAAGTTTTTAAAAACTGGTGATGTTCCTTTTATATATAAACCTCTGTTATGTTTAATTTCGATTAATTTCCCTGAAGAAGTTTGGACCAGATTGCCGAACGAAACGTTGGAATTACTCATTTCAATCTCGCTGAGACTTTACAAATATAATTTTTTACGAAGGGGATCAAATTCCATAAAGTTTAGATTAATGCAACGAGTTGAGATAAGTTTCTTCACCTTTGAACTTGACTTCACATAGGAATTAGTAGTCAGTAGACCATTCAAAACAGCGGTTACAATAAAGTGTTTAACAGAATTGATACAAAATATACTTAACTTGAGTTACTTTAGATTATAACATCACATCATATCTCGGGAGGAAACAGTTCCTCGGCTGAATACATGCGACTCTGATCACTTTATCGGCAACTGATACACCTTTGTGAGTAGGCTTAATGGTAAATTTCCTTACTAAAGTTATCATCTCAACTGACATCAAAGAAGTCACTTTATTTTCTATAGTTTGGTTTGTAAGGGTTAGTTTTGTTTTTACGAGTTGATCACGGATTGATATCAGTTAGAGAACCATTAAAAACCAGGGAGTAACGGACAGCTGTTTCATTCTAGTTTGGGAATCATCGGCAGTACGCACCCAGTGGAATTCGAACCCAGGACCTTCCGGTTACAAAGGAAGCTGGCAGGTATACCATTCAGCCACTGGGATCCGATTCAGTGGCTCATGAATTCTAACTTCTACCAATTCGTGATTTAGCGCGACCCCAAGCAGTGCCGTCAGTGGGACTTTATTATAATCCCCTTTAGTTCCTAGTGTTCTTCTCCGCAGTCCTCTTTAGCTGCGTCTATGATTGCTTATTAGCTTCCATCTCCTCCGCTTTCTTCTCACATGTTCTCCTCCACTTCAGTCTCGGACGCCTAACTCGAAGTTTACAATTCAGGTCCCACTGAAGGGTATGTTTAGTGTGTGATATCACTCAACGGTCTGTTCAGCGTGTGTCCGATGCATTTCCATTAGTTCCTCCATATTTGTTGGGCAATACCTTCTTGGTTACTTCGTTCCCAGAGTTCCTGGCTGCTAATCCTCTCTGGCTGGCAGGCTGGGCGTCTGATCATAAGTATGATTAGAAGAGAGCTGTTGGTGAAAGTCTGAAGTTGGCTTTTGCAGATACTTTCGTTGAAGGCGCCAGAAGGCCCCAAGTCTCTGAACCATACAGAAACATTCACGGATCGGATACTACTGCTTAAAACTCGAATCTTGTCTTTCATGCTATGAGCAGCAGGTTTCCACACTGTTTTTAGAGTAATGAATGTCCTTCCGTTGATATCCTCATCCATGCCAGAACCTGTAATCGAAACGATGATGGCCAAACAAAGGAAAGGAAAGACCTCGTTCATATTTCTTCCTTCTGTGGTGACTGGTGATTCTTGTTGTTAACTGAATACCTTCATCACTTCTGTCTGTTTACTTGAAGATCCGTAATGAAAGTCTTCTGATATTGTTAACCGACAACTTGCGAAAAACTTATTTACACAGAAGGATACTGTTTTGTGACAAAATGTTGAACTGAATAGTAAGCGTTGAATTTCAACTACAGGCAGCTGACGCGGACGATAATGTGAAGAAGAAAATCGGATAAGCAAGACAAACCTTCATCACGCAGAAATCAGTCTGGAAATCTTCTACACTCCTCAGCATAAACAACAAAATCCAGATTTTCAACACACCAATGTTTAGTCAGTAAGTTCTTGTATATGCATCAGAAACATGTCCTGTGCCTCACGAAAATCATTTCTAACAGTCTGCTGCAGCTGTCATCTTTTCTAGCTCCGTACTGAAGATCATATGGCTGACCAGAAGGAACTCTGGAAACAAACCAAACAAGAACTCATTGTGCAACAAATGTGATGAAGTAAATGGAGATAGGTCACAGGATTTCATCATGAGCTGACATTGGTTAGAGAACCATTGGAAAACCAACCGGGTGTACTGGACAGCTGTTTCTTCCTACCTTGGGTCTCTTCACAGTACGCACCCGCCGGGGTTTGGACCCAGGACCTTATGGTTACAAGGCGAGCTCATATCCAATGGTCCATGAATTTTAACATCTCCCAATTGACGATATAGCGCAACCCCTAGCCAATGTCTTCGGCGAGTGTTTGTCCTTACACCCGACCTGCTGCACCCTAGTTGTCATGACTTCCCACTAGAACCCCAAGTAACTACCTACCTGAATAGGGCCATATTAAAGTGACCATGTGAGCAAAACAGGGCCTTGAGTAAAACCAGAATGGGGGTCTGAGAGTGACACGGGGGGGATGAAGAAATGATAGCTTATGAGTAGTCGTTAAGCCAGGAAAAAACAACTGATAATTACATGGTGAAACAGGGATGTTCTGTTGAATCTAAATGTTCAGCTTGAAATCCAAGGCAACAATAAATAATCAATGAATCGCACTTATGGTTAAGTCACTGTGTTAAATTATTTACATAATAAGCCCCAATTAATCACTGAATACATTCCGGTGTCTTTTTTGAACTGTCTGACTAGGATTGCACTGAATTCAAGGCACACACATATATACACGTAAAAGAACCAAGAGTAAATTCAAACCATATAGGAGTTTTCACTGGTAAGCAAATAGAAGGAATGTAAATCACTAGCCCAGATAATCAGCATTCAACTACTTTTACGAGATTTACGTAACAATAAAGTAAAAAAACCTCACACAGTTCTTTCCATTTATAAGCATGAATGAAGCAAGAACGACAAATACATACCAGGAAGTAATATGAGCTGGTGATATTATTGTGAGGATTGTTCTCAGATGGCTGGAACTCGCCAGTCTTGTATGCGCGTGTGTGTGTATCAAAGTATCATTTGTTTCAGATAATGAAAAGTGGACAAACTATCACCTCATTTCACCTTCATACTGTGTCAATCAGTCTACTTGTACGTGCGTAAGCAAACAAATCTATTGGAAGAACGGTGAGAAGGGTTATTGATGGCATTTTTGAACGCAAACCAAAAGAAAACTGAGAATAAACGGCTTACATGCATCAAACAGTGCGACTGGGCATCATCTATTCAACACTGATCATATTGTGGACAATCTGAAGGTGTTCAAAATTATCAACAGGCAAAAGAAATCTAGACTGCTACGTTTTGCTGAGGCAGTCACTACCAAACGATCAAAACCGAATCTTTGTTGGCGGAAAGAGACAATGGTGTATCTTACACTGCCTTATTGATAACAAAGCATACAAACTCTATGACGTCATCTTCCGTTATGCCTAGAAAACTTTATTGTTTCAGCTAAACATGACTTACTCACTCTATCCCCCTTTTTTGGCTGTGTTATACATATACATTTCCTGTAGTTACGCAATCTATTACACTTTTATACGTTTTCTAGTCAAACTTTGTTTCTAACCAAAATGGATTTCATGGAGGATTTCATCATGAGCTGACATCAGTTAGAGAACCACTGGAAAACCAGCTGGGGGTATGGACAGCTGTTTCGTCCTAGTTTGGGACTCTTCGGCAGTACGCACCCTTGTAACCAGAAGGTCCTGGGCTCGAACTTTGATGGTTCTCTAACTGATGTCTGCTCATTATGAAATCCTCCATGCAGTCAAACAAAAATGCCTACAAAACCATTACTTCAAAATGGATTTGTTGAACTCTGCGTTTTTGTTTACAAATATCTTCTGGTACATATTTGTCGTTCTTGCTTTGTTCAAGTAAAATACTCATTGCATAATAAGATAAAACTCTCATCAGTAGTCATCTTGGAGAGTTCAGCGGTGTACTGAAGACATTATTACACTGTGCCTGACAGTGAAATCTCAATGATCACAAATATAACAGTGTGACTTACCTCATTTCATTTGAAGAATTTCTAAAGATAACTGCACTCATATCTGAAAATGATTCACCCATACACCTCTGAAATGGAAAAAAATAATAATTGCAAAATCGATTATTATTATTATTACATTATTGTTACGCGAATGCATTTTTTCTTCCTAACCGTTCAAGTTTATTAAGTATGTTAATTCAATTTTAGATTTTCCCGTCAATTGATTGGACTGAAGTGCTCGGTTTCAGGTTGACATGTCTGTCGGCTTCTTCTTTAGTTGCTTCACCGATTTCCGGGCATGTAATTAGAGGTTAACTGGTGGATGGTGACTAGCAGTGGAATCCAAGATAACGCGCATTTCGTCCTATTTTGGACTCGTCAGCTGAATAACGATTTGGCGTTTGAAGCTATAGACACTGGGTTCGAGGCTCGGTGGGAACATCATCACTCACTGCGGAATGCAGATACATTTACTAGCTGACGAGTCCCAAATAGGACAAAATGCGCGTTATCCTGGATTCCACTGCTAGTCACCATCCACCAATTAACTTTTATAAAGTACAGATCAGAAGCAACTCATAAATTTCTTCTCATATCAGAGGTCTTTTACTAACATCAGTTCATCAGCTCTTCTTGAGACATATTTTGTAATTTTAAAAGAGGCCACATTCTTCACTCAACTATGCAGCATTGTATCAACTACATGCAGTCAGCATGGATGAGCATTTCAATGCCGGTCAGGATCACAAAGGCATGACAGATGCCTTCATCACTCTGAGATGAGTGTGGAAAGCTGCCCCACTCAAAAAAATAAGGATGAATGTCTAGATGAGGAACTTAATAATATTAAACGGTTGCTGAGTGAAAATGGTTACCTAGATAAGTTCATTGATAAGAATATTACTGAAAAATCAAGGCAACCCAAGGTATCAACAGTTCCTAAACTTCCTCGGGGATATCATAAATGAGATACTAACCCAATGCCTAAAGAATGCGGTCATAAGAGCATTCAGTGCTGCTGAATTACGCTGTGTCTTCAAATCATCAACCTCTGCTTTGCGTTCTGGAGTCAAAGATTAACTGCCTAATTTTGCCTCTTCTATATGTATCTACCAATTTGACTGCTCCTGTGGAGTGAACCAGTTACATAGGCCATACAATTAGACGTGTTTCTCGTCAGATTTCCGACCATCATCCCGCGTGGTTAAACAAAGGGTAAAGGAAATCCAGTCATAGCGCTATTCTACAGAACACAAGATTGATGTTAACGAGGCGGCTTTCAAAGTCATTTACCGCATACCAAAAAATCTCAATTTCGCCTTAAGAGTTCGTCTACTACATACTGCTGAAGCCGTTGGGATCCACATTAAGAAGCCTAATTTATGCGTCCAAAAGAAGCTAGTTCAGACATTGTCCTTACCTTGGCCGTTTAGGTTCGAATGATCTTCAATCTTTTTGTAGAAATTTCCTTAATTTTATTTGATATTCTACTTGTTATTACATTTGTAAGCTTATTGTAATTTATGCATCTTTAATGAACTGTAATTCCACTGATCTTACTTAACAAATCGATATTATTTAAAATAACAGTAATATTGATATTGACTACTAATCTAGAATATTCTATGTATATAAACATGCATATATAATTGTAGAGACAAAAGAGTAAATTATTGAAAAGGATATTCATTGCTGAATCCTTTTGTTTCTTATAGATGTCTGAATGAATATTTTCGCTAAATTGAAATCTTCTATATGGATCAGAAACTTGGCGAACGCGTGACGAAAAATATTTCTAGCAGGCCACTGACGACTTTTATCAACAACTGCTTTTGCTCCACATTTAAGAATTAATGACCAGAAGGAATCAGCAGTAAGGAATTCTGGGAACGGACCAGTCAAGAACCTCTTGCTCAAAAAATATCCCGAAGAAAATGAAGAATGGTAGGAAATACGCTGTTGAGAGAGAGAGTTGAGTGACACTGTGTGACATGCCGTCGCCCGAAAGAAACCCAAATAGGAAAAGATGAGTTGGATATGGGTCCGTTGGGTGAAATGAGAGCACATGGGCAATCGTGGGGCCATTAGTAGAGGATTGCAGCCAATAGGACAAAGTGGAGATATAGTGTGGAAGCCGTTATCTTTGCCGATTCATGTGTCCTTAATGAGAAAACCTTTACAAGCCAGCAGGAAGTATTCAACAGCTGTTTCGTCCTAGTTTGTGACTCTTCAGTAGGACGCACTCATGATCAAGTCAGGGATGGCACTGATGAAGAGTTCCAAACTAGGGTGAAACAGCTATCCACTACTTTCTGGTTTTCGATGATTATCTAGTTGCTTCCTGTGTATGTGATGAAATTTTCAATTGCAATATACAGACAAACAAAACCGGCGGAGTTAAACTATCATCACCAAAGAACCAGTGACTCTGACCAACCAATCAAAATTCAGATGCGATAAAAGAAGCATTATCCCTAATAAAAATTTATTTTACACTGGCTAATTATCTCTTATGCGTTGTAAGGATGTATCCCATCAACTCCTAAGATGTGCGTCGGTGGCACAGTGGTTAGGACTCTCGCCGACGATGCACATAGTCCGGGGTTCGATCCCCTGCCGACGCACACCCGATATCTATGGTCGGCCTGCAAAATTGGGCTACCGATATCCACGCTGAAAATTCCATACTTGTACTGAAAATACGGTGTGGCATTAAGCTGTAAATCAAAATCAAATCAAAATAATAATCCACAGAGAAATCATAACATGCGCGATAGATTTATTCATCCAGATGACTGTAAATCTTAGTACTTTGACATCCACTGACATTCCTGACACAGTAATTTAACCTACCCCTAACCCTAGCCTTAATCCTAAACGTTATTCCTAACCTTGATTCTAACCCCTGACCCTGACCATAAAAATTCTAATCCTAACTGACAGTGTAGATTTACAGAGAAATGTACAAAGGAGATGAGTAGATTCAGGATTAAGGCTGGGGTGAAACTTACAACAAATATTAAGAAAAACATCCATGTCTAACACTGAGCGATCTGATTGGTCGGTTCAAGGTCATTTGACCATGATATCTATTCTTTACTGTTAGCGAATACCGTACCTATCCTCAGCAAATCCATAAAGGCAGGCACGATTTGATTCGAAATGACATATTTCGTAGTACTTTCTAAATCCGATAAGTTCTCAAAAGTCAACAGTTGATAGACATTGACTCCATTAGAGATAAGATTTTATTTTGATAATATTTACTGATTCGACCACGTTTCGAGCACAATTTATCACTGCCACTCATAATCATATCAGGGTACTTACTCACACAACTTTCTTGCTTCGTTTATATACATGAGTAACAAATTGATGATTAGACATTTGAATAAAAGACAAGCTCTGTAAGCTAATGGACCCAGTGGACCCACTTAAACAAAATAATATAATTTTAAAAATACCTTGCAATAACTGTGAGTTAAGTCAACTACATAGGTCAAACTAGTAGATCAGGAGTAGTCAGATTGCCTGTCAGAACATAAGAATTTAGCTAAGGTTAGAATGACTGACTCCACGAAGATAAGTAATTTAAATCAGCACCGCATTGCACTGCATGCATCAATGCACAACCACATAATAGGGACAAGAGGGTTAAAATTCTGAGAAGTAATATAGGTAGGTGGAGACAGAGAGAGATTGATTACTGAATCCTGGTTGGTTCGTCGAGGCTACACCCAACACAACACATGCAATAGAAGTGACTCAACGCAAATACCAGAGATATGGAAGATATTATTACCATCAGTCAAATCAGAGGGTAACATTCTAGCAAGTTATTTATTTTACTATAAAAGCATCTTATTTCCCATCTGATTGTATTTGATTGAAAACATTAGTAATAGTATCTCTGAATGTACTTTATCATCTTATATTGATTTTTATTCAAATGCCTAATCATCAATTTCACTCATGTATATAAATGAAGCAAGCAAGTTATGTGTGAGTAGTGCCTAGATATGATTATGAATGGCAGTGATAAATTGTGCTCGAAACGTGGTCATTAGTAAATATTATTGTACAACACTGTGTGATTTATCAAAATAAAATCTTATCTATAATGGAGTTAAGCTCTACCACAGTGCTCAAGTTTTATACTTATGTGAAAGGCTTCCTGCCGAGTACCTCCAACTACCTAATATCATGAAATCAATGTGCACTGTGATGGCGAGCTACCTAGAATGGTGGCCACATTGCAAAACCTGACTGATAGAATTCAGTCTGCACCAAACAGCAAGAACTAGACACGTCACACTAGTAACCAGTATCCAATCAAAATACCCACTACAGTCCTACAGGAGGTCAATCGGGAGCCTGAATAGCTCAGTGGTCACCTTTCTGACTACTGGCAGCACTGGGTGACGCGGGTTCGAATCTCAGAAGCAGGGACATGAGTTCCTTCAAGGTTGTTGCAGATACCCCTTGCTGACTGGTGAGTGCCAACTAGCACGAAATCTAGGTCAGGCAAGGCTTCCTGTGGTGATTGCTTCCAACTATGTAATATCATTAGGACTTATATTTTTGTGATTTTTCAATCACTTAATGAAATTAATTTTCTTACCATTTCATTAGTATTAGGTAAATAAACCATTCATCATTATCGTCGTCATTATCACGAACGTCATCAGTAAGACAGACATCAACTGTGACGTCTCTAGTGAGCTGTATATATATATATATATATAGAGAGAGAGAGAGAGAGATGCTTTTCAAGTTAGTAAAGCGAGAGATGTGACAGATTCCAGTATTGACTTTCTATTATCGTCAATAGTAAAGGCATCAGTCACACTCTTAGTAGTATGAGCAAAAAATCTAATTAGTCAAAGCGCACAGTCACTCACACACAGATCTAATTTTAAGCATATTTGGAGGCTTGTTGCTTACATCACTGGGCCGGGTTACTCTAAGTTGCCATGCATCATAGTGATTCTTATTTACTCTATTTCATGGGGTGTTTTTTTTAATTACATGTCCTTGAGTCACAATTGATAATCATATATAATCTCAACTAGGCTTCAACTTACTT